AACATAAAAGACATGTATTATTTAGGTACTCTTAGTTAATTACTTTTAAAGCCACACTTCATAATACATAAGTTCATTAGAAATAAATCAATTGTAGATGATAAATTTAATGTGAGTGGTGTGAAGGTTATAAAATATGAATTAGCAGAAAGGTCAAAACCGGAGATGATCAAGTAAGCGTTTATACAATTTGACCCTTGACATTTCATTTATGGAAAGTGCATCATAAATTTGACTTTTTATAAGCTATGTAAAAGCATCGGTTGTATCAAATGACACGATTACTTTGTTTTTCACAGTAATGAAAGTTTTACGACGCAAAATTACCAAGTAAATAATTATTGTATTTGTAATTTTAAATCTCACGTCCAATGACGCATTTATAATATTACTTTTACATAAATGTGTTAACACATTTTCGTCATGATTTTGTTTGATGGCTACATTTTATCATGGTGTTGTGCTAAAGAGGTTGTCAAAAAACTATTTAGGAACGAAAAGATAGATTATTAACAAGTTTTTACGTTTATTAGCAAAAATAGCAACGTAGGCCTACACTTACTCTTCTAGTCTCTATGATTGTCTAAACTGAACTAAACTGACCTAAGATCTAATCTAAACGCCGCAATCAGCAAATGCCGTTCCTCTTTTTGAAAAACCCCCAAAACATGGTCTCGGCCTACACATTCTATGCTTTGAACTGTATTGTTCACAAATATTATTGGAACAACTATTTGTCCAGAATAATATTTGACTATAAGATTTTCACCAACCTAAGAACAAAATCACTTAGTTTGTCAAACGATCAAATTATACAAAGGTCACATTTTAAACAAATATGTAAATACATTCAATTTAGACAACGCTAGCCGTGTAGTGTGGAGAGGGGGAGTTATACTACGATGTGAAGGGGGGGGAGTGCCGTACAAGAGTGGGGGTACAGAGTGGTTGGAAGGGGGGGGGGTAACAGTAGACAAAGCAGTGGCACTTGTCAACGTGATGAAGGTCATTCATATATCGATCGAAGGCATAAGCGGCGCGTGTACGCAGAGGGCGGCAGCCTTGTTGAAAGTACTACGTTTGTTGATTTGTTGTAGGGAATAATCACGGGTTTTTTATAGCAGAAGATTGTTTGACATTGCGTCACTAACAAACTTTTGGTCACGTTTGATTGTGTGTTTTTTTGTATCCTGACAATCATATTTTACACCATAAACGTAGCTCTATAGTGCGTAATATTTTGTCAATATGTATGTGATTTCTAGTGGACTCTTTTATTTTTTGTGTTTTTTATAGGTTTACACCAGTTGTATTGTTAATGGAATAATTAAAACCGCTTTTGAGTTAAACCGGTATAAGCCAATCAACACTTTAAGGATAATTCGGAAAACGTACCCACCACTCTCGCTCAAAGGTTTGAGACTAAAATCCAGAAAGACACCTACACACCGGGCTAGCAACACACCTAAATTACGAACATGTTTATAATGTGAATATGTATCATTTTGTATGCAATTCTTACCAAGCTCTTAGTAACGTAAACCCTTTAACACTACAAATGGGCAACTTGTGTGGTTACTAAGCATTGTTGTTGTATATTATGATTTCCTTCTCTAGCTTTTGACTGACTTTTGTAGGAATTAAACTACACCCTATGTGATGTTGTGAACCAAATTATGTCAAGGAAATAGACAATCTTCCTGCGACTACGCTCGAAATCGATTAAATATTCCAACCATTAAACTAATTGTTTCTTGACAGTTTCAAATTAGTTTGTAGATATCAAGTGATTGTTTGATTTCCTCAATTCAATCCAACTTTAAAGGCTATTGAAGTAAAGCCTTGAGAAAACATTGCGCAAAAAGGACCAATACATTCAGACGGGAGGACAGAAGCTTTTAGACGTTGGCACACTTTAGCTATATCGATTTGGAAACTTGACGGAGCTATCGCAGAACTTTGTTATTCAAGTTTTCTATACAATTTTCTCTATACCTTTTATTTCCATCTGCTCTAGTTCCAGAAAGTTTTACTGATCCATTGAAAGAAAACCAGTTCTACCTGGTTTGGTTATTCTTTGCAACGATCTCGAGTGTATGTTTCCGAAAAGTTGAAATAAGTTATACGGTAACAACCATATACAGATTGTCAACACAATTTTAATACGCTGTAGTAAAGTCTCAGAAAAGCAGGTGATAAGTTATGGTTTTAGGGAATATTATGTTAACCCCCCCTTTTTGCAAAAGAGATAATAAAATATTATGTAAGATTTTGTACAGCTAAAATTGATTCTCCTAACTAAGTAATCAACAGGTAGGCCTACTTGGTCTGGTGCTAATACTAGTTCTCGAGGAGTTTGTAAAAGAAAACCTGCAACAGTCCTAGAACACGCAAAATAACGCGAAAATGGGTAAATTTCAAGAAAAAATTTACTAGAAAATAGCAAAACTGCAGAACTAAAGGAATTGTCAAAGAATATCTGTGGGAACCACCATGGAATAACACAAGATTTCTTAACATTCAACACTAGACGGAAAAAAGAAAAAAATAGTGGGACGAGAGAAAGGAGAGAAGAAGAAAGTAATAAAACGAGGAAATGGGTCGGGGATTTGGTCCATTATGCCGGGAATGAACTATGGAAGATCAAAGAAAACGTGGACGAAATAGAAAATACTATAATAATTGCGAAGAAGATCTCGTGTTACTGTAGTATTATTGAATAAGATAATTTTAAACAAAATCTAAAGTTAAAAACAACTGGATCTGGAAAGGACTGTGAATGGTTAACATTAGAATACTGTTTAAGAGTAAATAATCCATTTTCCTTCCTTCCAACGTTATTAGACAAGAGTAGGCAAAGAAGGATCTTGTTTGTAACAAGACTGTGGATATATGGCAAGTTGGTTTATTTCTTTCACTAAAGAAAAGAGATTAACGGTAAATTTAACCTTGCATCAACCAAGGCCACACTAAATAAACCAACATATCCACATAGGTTCGTTTCTGTGTATGGAACGTCAGAAAATGTAAGGAGGTAGCAGACACGGTGCAAGAATGATCTCTACTGAGATTAGTGGCGGCACCGGGGCAGGAATCTACGATAGCGCAGCATTCATTCCATTGCGCTACCGTCAACCGACTCACTAAATTCCAGTGTGAATCTTGAAGCATTCATTCTTAGCCATTTGACATCAAGTTTATTTCATTCTGGAAAAACAAATATCTTACCTAGATTAGTTAGAATTATCCAGCGGCATTTACGTATATTTATTATTTCACTCCTTTTGAAGATCCATGTGGTTGGATTGTAAAAGCCCTTAGATCGCCAGCACAATCCCGGAGTGATTCTGATACAATTTGTAGTTGGAATTTTAATATTGTTTTGTCTAGTTCTAGCAATCGGTTGACGTAAGAGAGTAATACATAAAAATTACCAAAAAATGGACAACTTGGCGATTTTAGGTAGTACCTTTCGGCTCCTTTGAACGAAAATTGCCCAGTTGGTGCCTAAAAACAACACCGGTATTTGGACCATTTCCAAGCAAAGAATTAAACATTCCCATTACCAAATGGTGTTGCATAAATTTTAAATATGCAATACCTATTCAAAAATATTCTGAATAAACAATACTATATGATCGTTCTTGATGAAACATAGATAAATTGTAAACATTTTAGATACCTAACTTACTTTTCTATCAGATTGCTAAATTTATAAGGCATCAACAAGTTTTCCGTTCAGCTTTTTGATTGGTTCAATTAATAGTTTGTGGCTATATCAAATTAAACTTAGGAACATAATTCATCAAATTATACCAAGACTCATTTTATGCTCAAAAAGCATAAAATGTCAAGCTCTTGTTGGTACCAGGATTGATTGGAAAATATGGTCAATATTATTGCATAAATGAGTTTTAAATAAAAAAACAAATTATAACAATTGCTCTGAAAATTAATAACTACGTACCATTTATAAAACACAAATAAAATTCTCTACGTATTACAGATTCCATTAATTTACAGCGACATAAACTCTCAACGCGTTGGCACCACCTCACACAGCCAATACATTTAAACTTTCACGTCATCAATGGAGGCGTATCAATGTCATAAAAGATGAACAAGTTTATACGATCGCTACGTCCTGTGGTTAACTGTGGTAGTACTAGAGGTAGTTCAACTGTCTGCCACCGTCGCGCCACGTGTCAATCCCGCACGGCTAGACAGCTAATGTCAATGTAATATTAATTTTTCGAACACGAATCTGTTTAAGGTGTTAAAATTATAGTATTAAGGCTAACATGCTTGTCAGGTCTAAAGGCAATTAATTTTTCTATCTGGAATCTTTACTAACCCTCCTGAGAGAAAAGTAAAATATGTGTTTGTAAACGTAACAGTAGTAAAGTTCAAACTAGGTTAAAAAGATAATTTGACATATGAAATGTTGGAAGATTTATATGATTGTGGATTTAAATCCCACCTATTAGAACATAAAAAAAGTAAATTGTATTTACAAGTCATTGAAAAGGAGGTACTTAAGGGGGGTTTTAACTCTACTTACTAGAAAATCCCTTAGGAAAAAAGCAAAAAAATATAATTCTGTAATTATTAAATTTATCCAACGTTACTGACAAAATTAGTGTCTTCAATACAATTTTCATGTTACACCAACTAAGTGAATGCATTAAACACTTTAGTTCTTCTTATAAAAAAGAATAAGTGGACATAACAATAATCATACCTTAATACAGTAATAGCACCAACTCAATGTGTTGAGGAATAAATATAGGGACTTAAGTTTTCTATTCAAGGTTTAAGTGTCGATGGGATTAAATGATAAAGGTTTCAGTTTTTACAAAAAACTAGACACTTAAACGAAAAATCTATTTGAAGTATTCTTACTTTCTTTTGATTTAAAACTATTTATTTTTTCATAGTGGTATGTCGAACACTAAATTTCCCGGCTAAACTACACGTACTGCCATCTATGTTTTACTCACATTGTTTATTCTCGCTGACTGCTCCTCCTAGGACACTGATCACCAGTAACGTCTGCAGAAGCCACGGGGGCCCCGGGCCCCTCGACGAGTATCCCATGTCCACTACCCGCTCACTCCCGCACCAGCACTAGGGCGAAGCCCCGTCACCATCGTCCACCACCGTCCTCAGTCGATAGGACCGAGTTCGCCGGGGCCATATTGATCAGGTACGGTGGCGCTCCAGTGTCACCGGCGGGAACTACCACGCATGCGTTCGCAGGGTGATTTTCCCTTTAATAACTACCCTGTAAAGGCAGGAATTATAAGTTTTATAGGTCAGCACACTATGGCTAGGTTGTAAGGCTTAGTGTCGCTATACTGTACAACGTGGGGACGTCTGCCGATATAGAACGTAGTACGATTGGTAGTACTATTGATTGGAGTACTATGAGTGTACAATCATTCAAGCACTCCACTCTAGTAGTAGGCTGATTCAGCGTTCTGTTCACCGTTAAAGTTCATTCTTGTATTAATTTCGCTTTACGTTTTGCCTTAGTTTTTTTAACAGTTGAAGATTTTATTAAAATAGAGATATTATTTGTATAATCAACATTTTCCTAGTTTTTGACAAAACTACACTACTTTTAATTTACATTTGAAGAGCAAAATCCGTTTGTGGAAGGATTTGAGCCCACGACTCTGGAAAAGTATTAGCACGCTTTAACTAAACCAATAGCTCTCCCGTGCACTTGTCTGGTTTCTTACTATTTTAGAGGAACTCATATAATTAAAAAAAATATTTTCCGCGTGCTGTTTGTAGAAAAATGAAAACAGGTTAAAGGTAATCCCTGGCTAAAAACTAATAACAATAATAATAATATACTATGACACAATTAAGTATTAAAGTAAAGGAAATAAAGTAAAGAGTAATGTAATACTACATTTTGAGTTTCAAAAAAGCCAATATAATAATCTTTTAAACCATAAACCTTTCTTTTTGAACCTTAAAATTTAGTATTACATTACATTTATTTGCCAATATCCCCAACATAAGTTATAAAGTAAAGAGTAATAAAGTATTAATAAATTACCATGTAAGTGTTGTCAATGTATGGGTTGTACTAGAAACTCCTTTTTAAACAGATTCCGAAGTTTTGAAACAGTAGCCCCTGCAAATATGACAAAACGCAAAATATATACTGTAGCTGTTTTGCTAGCGAAAGAAATGAAGGCGTACCTTCTTTTTCAGCAAAGACTTGCATTTCACCATCCACAACCTCAGTAAAAACAAAAACCTATGAATGGATAACACTTTTACACGTAAATAGAAAAAAACTGTTATTGTAGGGAAATTCAACCAGCTAAATACATCAAATTTAATACGGGTTAATGTTTTCAGATTACACTTTAATGGATGAGCGAAACTAGATTTTAAGACTTGTATTGCAGGATAAATTGTTAAACGCCATTCGTTGCTTACACCAAACTTTTGTTTAAAGTCTTTTAGTAAATTTAATTCTGGTATAGCTAATAAAAAATTAACTTCTGTATTATTTTTTAGTTTAAGTCATTTTCCACTAATACAACTAGTCCCGTATGAGCACTTATACTTTAGCAAAACTTCTTATCCTGAAAAAAAAACAAAAAAAATTCACATCGAAGTACAGTGCAATACTGTCTGTTCACAAAAACAAACAACAATGAATTCAGCGGTATATTGTTGAAACGTGGAACTGGCTTGTTTTGGTGCTACTACAGTTTCAGAGGCTTACGGAATTACGATTTGTACTGCAGACCTTCACTTCAAAATTTAGAAGTAATTTTTAGAACAACATCAACAAAATTTGAACACCACAGAACCAAACCTATACGGGTTGGTTAAAATTATTTTAGTTTTAGAGGCTACATTATCTATGAAATCAGTTAAGACAATTTGTTTCCATAGAAACCCTCTTTATCTAGGCATTGTAATGCTATTACAGAGGTTTTCAAACAATCATTGAGTGTCAATACTGAAGGTTCTACCTTTATTATACTCTATGCACCCAAATGTCTGTGGCTTGGTCTTTTTCACTGTACTATATAAAAGTAATAACAAACACGCTTTATAAAACAAACCTTATCATATTTTTACGATTTCGTTAATGTTTGTAAAACAGTATTTTTTATAGTGTGTAACTTTATCAGACGAAAGGTGTGGAAGAACATGTATACTTTTTAATTCATATGTGTGTATCAACTAATAACTAAAAGAACTATATTTACACGAACACTACTACCATTGGGTATACACGTATACTCGTTCGTATATACTCAATGCTACTAAGAATCGTAAGACATCGGCGTAACTATACAAATACTTCGAATAAAATGATTTATTTACACTAGAGGATAGAATATTGTGAGTCTGTTTTATTTGCTGATTCTGTCACTTCGATATGTATTTAGTCAGCTCAAGAAAAAACGTGAAAATACTCCAAAGGCGTAAAATACGAATTAAAGAAGGAAATCTTCCAAAAGAAAACGGGTATCTCTCAGTATCAAATTCTCTTGCCCCTTACAATAATGTAATTGTAAAATCGCCCTGAGAAAGCTTCTTTTAATTACATTTTAATTGTATCTGCAGAGTGGAATTAATTTAAAGTATTCCGCTCGAGGCAGAACTATCTCTGTAAGATCTTATGATTGCAGACTTTGCTTGGATTACGGAATCTTGTTCTTGCTTTAATCTTTCTCCGGTATTCAGATTTTATGGTGCTTTTGTTCTTTGATTAGTTTAAAACCAATCAACTTCTTATTAACAAGTGGATCTTTTAATTAGAAAGATTAAGGATGGAATAAATATAATTGTGAGATAAATAGTCTTATTATGTTTGAGTTTGAACAGTTATTTTATGTTCGGTGCTGTTCAATTTTTCCTCTTGAACCCATGTTTACATGGAATGTTAGTTATCATTGTGTAACCTGTAATGTAAAACCAATTGAATCTGGCAAAAATGCCCTCAGATATTATAAAATGTTTGCAACATCCCCCAAACTGTTGATTTTGGAGAACAAAAAGATAAAACAGAAGACATGTTCCCGATCACACATTTTTACTTATTGTTTTTTACATGTTTTTCTACACACACTATAAAATAATTATTGTCTTTACCTGGTTTGCAAGGACCACGAGAGAGAAAGTTTTAAGCATGGGACTATCACCACTATAAACATGTTCACACTGAAAAGATTTAAGGTGGGGTTAACTATTAATTTGAGTAGTTAGCCCAACCAAAAATATCCCCATTAAGTAAAAGGCATTGTGTACATCATACCATTATAATTACGTTTCCCTAATTGATACTTTAGAATTATGATGACAAGTAATTTGGCTGGACTGGTTACTAATTGAATTCGATGGATTTATGACAATAAACTTTAAATATTTGTATTAGACCAAACATGTTCGAATAAGAGCGTTTATTCCGGTGACATCCATAGTGAAGTAACAGGGACATTTTCAGTTACAAACTAACCATCATCAATCACTTGATCGATCTGGTACGGCATTCAGCCTGTTCGAACCAGGGTAATATCTTTCACAATAAACTTCTACCCATTCGGCGTGTCTTGGGAAGATAACAGTACAATTTTGGAGTAATTTTTGTAATTATTATGTTTTAGTAAAAGGTTTATGTTAAATAGAAAAACTCTACAGTTGTTTTCAGTTTTTCCCGAAATTTATTTCACGCAAATATATCTTATTGTATTCAAAGAAGGTAATAAGAAGGTAAGGTGCTATATTTTCAAAATGTAAAAAGTAAATCTACCATATAATCCAATATAAAATAGTAGTGTTGGTATACAAATTTTAAAGATGATATTTAACAAAGTTTGTAATGTTATGTAATGTTAAGAAAGGAGGAGAACAGAATATAAGTTATTATTATCTAATCATAGTATCTGGGAAATCCCAGTAGCAACGTGGGGATGTAATGTGAGTATAAATATTTATAATTCATTATCTGCAGCATAATGTTGGCTAACGGGAAACGCGACGGATGTTGATTACTTTCTTTGCGAAAAATTGAAAATATACAGAGTGTAACTGTCTAAAGGACCCTTTAGTCTTTACCAATCATTACCGACCATTGAAAGCATTATATTGAATTTAATAATAATATTCACAATTTAAAAACCAACCCGCCTCATTTTTCTTGTTTTCTTTTTTTCTTACAAATAAGAAAATCATACAATTTCTAGCTTCACGGAAAGCTTATATTTTCCCATGTCTCATTGTTACATTTTCAATTATCTTATTTGTTTCTAATAGTACCGTCTATCTGTTGTCTCCTTGAAATGAAATAGATATTCTAGTGCAATGCACTGAAGTAAGGTGAAAAGTCAACTTGCATTGACTCAGCTTATAATGTACCCTTACAAATTAACTTCGGATTAAATACAAATGGTCATTTACGGCATTGTCTTGTTGCATGAGCATAAACTAATAAACTAAAAAAAAAAACATATAGGCTCCTTACTGCCTTTAGTACAACTGGAATGTTTGAAATAACTGTCATATGCTATGATAGATATTTGGAAATACTCTAGTGCAGATGAAGATCTGTACTAGAGTGTAAATCCAAAATGTTGATCGTAGATAAAATCACGATTCTATGAAAGTATTTTTTTAAATCACTAATTTGCTATGTTACTAACCTTGTCACGTTCTCGTCTGCATATATACTAAATCATCAAACAGTTACACTACCAGTAACAAAATTAAATAAATTAGGTTTTACACGTGGTTATTCAAGATTCCACCAAATTGTAAGTAAAATACTGTAAACCTAACTATACAAATCTGTAAAATAGTTTAAGTATATACTTCAGAACTTAATAAAGCTTATACCTAACGTATCCAACGCTTTCGTATGTCGCTCCTGCTTTAGTCTAGTCAAAATATTGACTGAACCTTACAGACGAGAAAGCAATTCTGTAATACTTCCAGACACGTTCCGAAGAGAGTATTTTTGACAATTTCAGCTGCAAAAATAACTCATCAATCACGAAAATCGATCTTTACAATCTCATCTTAGTCTTTGCTACACTCCAACGTGCCTTTGACGACCTTTGAAACGCCATCTGGAAATATCTGCATTTTCTCAAACCCCTTGGGGAAAATATATTTCTCCCTTCACTCCTATAGTGAATCAAAAAGAGTTTAGTAAATCTACTAA